TAGGCCTTCTGCAACTTGATCTCCTCCTCCCCAAAAGGCCTGACAAGCCTAGGAGCAGGCCTGGAGTCCAAGGGCAGGGCATGAGCCCGAGAGGCTGGCAGGCCTCCCTGCGGCACCGGCGGCTCCACAGGGACCTCCTTACGTGCAATTTCAACATGTATGTGTCGCATGATTCTGGTCTGTTTCAAACCACTTTTCTGGTTGGTGTCTTCTAGGTCAAGTAAAACTAGGAATTTAAAGTGCAAGTAAAAACACAGGAGAACGTTCAAGAGAGCGGCCTGGTTATCTTGTCAACAAGATGGCGACGCTTTCCTACAGGAGGCTGAGCAGCAGCTGACCTGAAGGAGAGGAGGAACAGTGTGATAACGAAGGCTGCCACCAGCGATCAGAAATGCACACGACAAAGACAGCCATACAGCTCCCAAAAACATCCGAAAACAGGCGTTAATAACGGCCCTATCATAGACAAAGAAATCAAAAATAAAACACCCCCACAAGTTTTCCTCCTGAATTTTAATGAACAAAATTATGCTAAAGAAAACTGAAGACAAAAAGAGGAGCGATTCTCTGGAATCTATATGCATTCAAAACCCAAGATTCATGTATCCCAGTCTGACCTTGTGTGTCTTACAGGGCAATCGAATATGCATTAAAAGTATAGGCAGATCCTCCTGGTCATTTTCTTGGAGTATATTCCTGTTGGTTTTTAATAGTAATCTTCATGAATTAATCAATGGGACATAAATAAAAGTGCAGCTTTCGCTTATATTATTTTTCAGTTTAAGGTGCAGGTTTGCCTACGGTCATATTCTTATTCAGCATGTAACAATATACTGTATATTATATTAAATCAGTTTGGAAACTATCTGTAAAGTCACTGATTTATAAATAAATGATGTTACCCAAATGCTCGATCCATTAAATAACAGAATTAAATTCTACCTGTTATTGTGCTAGATGGACCAGTAACGAGTCCCAGATCCGGGTCTGAACCTTACCGCTCCATTCCTGGACTCCGCTGCCTGATTGGATCCCCTTCCTCCCTTCTTCTCCCGTTTCTGCGGTTTCTCCATCCTCACAGCAGCAGCTTCCAACAGCGTGGCAGGATAAAGCACTACCTGCAAGGTATAAACACACACACACCCACACAGACACCCTGTAATGCGCCGTTAAACAGCAGGACGATTGAAGCCACGTGTGAATTATGAGCAGGCGGGATTAGGAGCCTTACGAAACGCAGGATGTCAGTGGGGAGGCAGATTTGCAGAGACACAGGAAGTGGCCCCCCACACACACCTGCCCCACCCAGGCTGCATCAGGACACGCCCCCTCTGGAAATGTGGCTGTGAGCTGTGATGCTCCCACTTCATTCTGTCACCAGCATGCCCTCCGGAGAAAGGATCCTGTCGAGGATCAGACACCGATGATGTCACCATTACATCACTACATAGTATGTCTGCATCACATCATCCCGCTCATCTCCCTTCAGGCATGACACCGAAGACAATCTGCCATCTCGCCACAGAAACCTGGTCTACGGTTAAGGAAACAGGAACGAGGATCTGCTTTCTGAGCCGTGCATGTTACGCATTTCTGTTTTAAAGTGTTGCCTGCAGGCTAACTTGTCGAATGTCTGCGGGGCCTGGTAACTCTAGGCAGTGTAAAATGTTTGAGTAATATGCAATCCACCATTAGTTACAGATTCCACTGTCACTCTGCCCAGTGTACATGAACTGAACCATGCCTGAGAACACGGTCATGTATGAACACACAATATACCAGCTGCTTAGAGGATTACAGCTATAGTACATATTAAGACATAGAATTATATGCTTACATGCTCATATATTTTGATACATATTTCATATGTTTTCATTGATTTATAAAATTAAATTATCATGTCCCCGCAACCCTGAATTCGATAAAGAGTTACAGAAAACGGATGGAAGGATAAATGGAAATTATCATGTTGATCAATGTCAGGCATCTGTGCTGCTCACCATGGTAAATTTCTGTTAAATGCAGTATTAACACTCTAAACCCCCCCTTCTCTACCCACTGTGGCTCTTTGTAAATCTTGAGTCAGACATTTAGGATAAAATGGCTCTTTGCTTTAAAAAGGTTGCCGACCCCTGGACTACAGGAAAATGAAACATTCTTAAAGCAGCAAATATTGATTGCTGCCATACCTAGAAGCAGCTGTTACAGCACCTGCCACAGCTGAATACGTGGAGGTTGGGAAAAAAAAATTCAATAATTCAGGCTAATGTACATCTCTTTCGATAAGGATTTCTTCAACTTCTTGGTATCAGAGGTTTTTATAGAGGGCGGTGTGTAGCTCAGCAGGTTATGGGATCGGTGCCCATGTCTGGAAGGTCGCAGATTCAAATTCTGCAACCGGGAGCGTAATAATATCACCGTGAGGTCCTTCAGCAAAGCTGTAAAGCCGCTGGATATTGGCTGACCGTACACCTCCTCTCTCCTGAGGGACATGTGTGTCTGTGTCTCACATAAAAACCAATACGGGATATGCAAAAGCTAAAAAATAGCCTGGCCAATGCGTATCTATAAAATGTATGTGAATAGCCAGCGTGTACAGACTGCAGATATGTCACACTGCCAAGTATATATGTTTGCAAAAGTACGGAGAATTTGTATGTCTAAAATGCAAAACCTTTTGTGAAAGAATTCTGAGTGGTCCAATGATATACAAACATGTCATTCCCCAAAGATTAGCTTACAGGCTAATATACTTTCCTCCCTCTGCCACATTGAACTTCCTTTGGCAGGTACTGAGTACTAGCACAAGCACAAAGATACATTGGCTAGTTTGGGAATATACAG